CACTTTATTTCGACAAAACACACAAACGACTGAAGGAATAGGGTTAAACAAATGTAATATTACAATATTTAAAAATCAGATCTAACGCTACACCAAGAGATATACTCACAGCTTATCACTTGGTGTACCAGATCGCAACAGGATCACTACAGTCTATGCCGCAGATATTCTGGGCTTTAGTATTCTATTATCCGTAACACCATTCTTATCGAAAGATACCAACACCTTCAAGTCAGAAATCAGGTAAAAATGAGTTCAAAGATATATTTGGACAGTTATCAACATGTTGGTAAGCGTTTGTTCTAGGCTGACTTGTTGTTGAGAGGAATGATTAGCACGGCGTACCTAAACATAATTTGATGCGAATGCGCGACCGAGCATCTTCAACCCCACAAACAAAGATCAGATGTTGATTTAACTGTACGAACAGCCAATCATTTCGTCCCGGCTAAGAGTACTGGTACCCTACGATTTGAAGACTTACATCAACTACGACAAATACGCCTTCCGAGCAAACCTTGCACTGATAATATTGAAGCGAATATTCGGCCGGTTTGACGGAAGAGCTTTCCATATAATCTTAAACTGTTTCATTCGTCCCCATTTAGAGTTCGGAAACATAGTATCTCCTCCCTCACTACAAAAGGATAAGGACACTCTGGAGCGTATCCAACGGCGAGCCACGAAATCATTTCGGCGACTCAAATTCAAGCCTTATGAAGAGCGCCTCCAATCAATAAACCTTTACCCATTAGAATATAAGCGTCTCAGAGGTGACCTTCTAATGGCTTACAGTATCCTTAACACTTCTGAACATTCCCCTTAAACACTTACCTAAGTTTAGCTCCAACATAAACCTAAGGGGTAACACCTAGAAAGTAGAGACAAAACACGGCAGGACGGATTGTAGACGCAACTTTTACTCATTAAGAGTTGTCAGTCCTGGAATTCGCTGTTTGATGAGCTAGTCCAAGAGACTTCCTAGGAGTCCTTTGAGAGGAAACTAGGGATAATAATAACGTCCGGGTTGTCGTTATCCTGTTGAAAGCGGCATGAAGTGCGACGAGTGCAAAGGCTGGTACCACGAAGTTTGCACAAACTTAACGCCTGCGGCTTTCAAACGGTTCAGTAAGAAGTGTTGTGTATGGCTTTGTCAACAGTGCTGCTCGGATGCAAACAGCTTGTTAACCGAGGCTATCTCACTGGTTAATGCTGCAAAGAAGTGTTTTAGCAAGCACAGTCGGAACGCGTCAAACAGCACTCGATCTGTCGACACGCAAATCAACGTGATGGAAACCAAGGTTAGTTCGATGGTAGATGACTCACGCCCGTCAAAGAAGGAAACTCAATCTCCAAAGGGGTCTGCCTTAAACAAAAGCTAAAGGAAAGTAGGTTCTTCTGTTCCCCGTCTCCCAGATGGGATCCAACAGGAAACACCTATAAGCCGCAATCGCAAGGCTCGATCGGTTTCAAGCGGTAGACATAACCCGACCTCTCAGGTCGTCGACAACCCCCCAAAATCCAACACTAGGTTTGACGCAACTGTTATTGCTTCTACTAGCACTGTTGACGAATGGGTACAGGTTGTAAGGAAGAAAAGTATTGATATAAAAAGGAACCCTGCCCCCGTAAAAGTAGTTGAAAAATCGAAAGCTGATCACAGCGACAGATCAGCTATTTTTCATAGAATCAAGGAGAGCGAGAGCTCTGAACCTAAAGCTCGTTTTGAGCATGACATTGTACTGATTAGGCAGCTGCTTAATCAACTCATGCCTCAAAATATCACCGGGGTCACCTTGCTAAAGGTGTACAGACTAGGGAGTCTAGCGGACGTGAAACCAAATCATTCCAGACTGCTTAAAGTAGTATTCAACTCTTCGAACGAACGTGACCTAATTTTACAGAATGGACACAAATTAAAGGGTTCAGGAGTCTTTATCCGAAAGGACCTACCGTTGGCAGACCGTGTTAAAAGACGGGAAGCCGAGAAAGAACTACAACTTAGGTTAGACACTGGCGAAAAGGACCTACAAATTGTAAATTTTCGGGTTGCAAGGCTTCGACAGAGAATGATGCCGAAGCCAATCTGGGTGAAGCACGAAGGCACTTAAACAGGCTTCGGATCTGTTACATCAGTGCACGAGGCTTACTTAATAAGCGATCGGAACTAGGTGTACAGATTGACTCTACAAAGCCAGACATAATCGCAGTAACAGAAACCTGGCTGACACAGGCTGTAGATAGTATTGAACTTGATTTCGAGGGTTTTACGTTAGTAAGGGCCGACAGAACACAAAAGCGCAAAGGAGAGGGAGCAGCTCTACTCATTAAGAATTCTACCCCATTTGCTATTATCGATAGTGTATCCCATGAGAGTGGGACGTGTGAATTAGTAAGTCTCCGCTTGAAATGCAAGGGACAAGAGCTGCTGATGGGTTTGGTCTATCGCAGTCCAAGCTGTGAGGTAAATGAAGTTCTGCTAAGCAGTCTCAATACTTGGTCACAAAGTGGTCAGTGTCTAATCCTAGGGGACTTCAATGCATCTATGGTAGACTGAGAAAATCTGCGAACTAAATCACATGTGCTCTACTGCAACATGTGAAAGAAGCAACAAGGTACGATACGGACACTGAATCATCCTTATTAGATCTTATACTGACTCACTACGAGGATGATGTTGCGAACCTCCATCATATGCCACCCCTAGGTAAAAGTGATCACGCAGTTTTAACTTTCGACTTCCATATAACTGCCGGTCACGAGCACTCGTCAGTCCAGACCAGACTTAACGTTTGGAAAGCAAACATACCAGACATCATGCACTCAGCGTCGTTAATAGATTGGACAATAGACCCAGAGTCCTCCATTGAAACGACCTGGGACGCATTTCGAAATACATACTTAAAAGTTACCACATCTCACATCCCTTGGACTATACCAAAGGGGCCGAAAAACTCATCACCATGGTTCAGTAGGGAGGTCCATATCCTTCTCCGTAAGAAAAGGAAAATGTGGGATAGATTTAGGTTACTGGGGACTGATGAGTCAAAATCTCAGTATCCAAAGGCCCGGAATACTTGTGCCTCGACCCTCCGTAAGCCTAGAAAATTGTACGAAGGAAAATTTGTTAAGGGATCCATAGAATGTCCTAAACGCTTATATTCCTATATAAACCAAAGGACAAGGAGAAAAGGAAATATTCCTGCTCTAGGGGGAGACAGTACTGCTTCATCATTAGTGGACGACGACTTTGGTAAGGCTCAAGTGTTCTCGAACTACTTTAACAACGTATATATCATAGGAGCGCCCTTCCCGTCAGCGTATACAGATCCCCCCATACATACACTGGATAGCGTGACCATTAAAGAACTCGATGTCTTTGGTCCACTAAATAAGCTTGACATAGGTAATCCACGGGGCCCGATGAATTATATCCTAGGCTAGTGAAGGAGTTATCTAACTTAGTTGCGAACCCTTTAAGTATATGCTTTGACCTATCCGTTAAGCAGGGTCGTTTACCAAAAGACTGGAAAAACGCCATAGTAAGTCTTGTCTTCAAAACAGGCACGAAACACAAACCTGAGAACTACCGCCCCGTTAGCCTAACTAGTGTGGTTGTTAAAATATTAGAAAAGATTATTCGGAAGGAGCTGTTTAAGTATCTCGATAAAAACCGGATCCTCTCGGAGAAGCAGCATGCCTTCAGAATAGGTTATTCTTGTCTCACTAACTTATTAGTGGCTCGTGAAAGCTGGTGCGCTATTAAGGACCAAAAGTTACATGTAGACGTAGTCTACATTGATTTCAGCAAAGCTTTCGACAAGGTTCCGCACAACTGGCTGTTATATAAGTTAAGAAATGTCGGGATTGGAGGCAATTTATTGATGTAGATAAAAGACTTCTTAGTTGGGTGCCAACAAAGAGTTCGGGTGAACTCAAAGTTATCTAGCTGGGGAACTGTGCTTAGTGGAGTGCCCCAAGGCACAGTTTTGGGGCCAGTGCTATTCCTCTTGTATGTAAATGACCTTCCTCGTCTCCTATCATCATCGGTCTTGCTATATGCTGACGATGTCAAGATATGAGGAACGATACGATGTGAGGGTGATAGCTTAGAACTTCAAAATGACCTGAAGAAATTATCTGAGTGGTCTCAAACCTGGCAGTTGCCGATAAATACTTCCAAGTGTGTTGTGATGCACATCGGCCATCAAGGTACAGATACATACACGATGAATAACACTGAGCTACCTGTCGTCCAGACATATAATGACTTAAGCGTCATCGTTAGTCAAGACTTAAAGACTACTGCACACTGCCGTGTAATAGCCGCCAAAGGTTTTAGAACCTTATGGTCAAAACGTAGAGCTTTTAGTCATGTCGACGCTAAAACGTTTTTGACTTTGTATATAGTGTTCGTTCGTCCTAAACTTGAGTACTGCATACAAGCGGCTAACCCCTGCTTAAAAAAAGACAGTGAGCTTCTGGAAAAGGTTCAGAGAACGGCAACTAAATTGATTCCCGGAATAGCGAAGCTTCCGTATGAAGCTCGACTGGCCAAGCTGAACCTTTCCCCGTTGTCATATCGCAGAACTAGAGGCGACTTGATTACAGTTTTCAAATTGCTTAGTGCCAAATTCGCACCTGATATGCCTTCATTTTTCTTGTCTTCCAAAACAGAGAATTTACGAGGACACTCCAAAAAAGTTCATAAGCCGAGAACAAATTACTTGTCAGCTGACTATCGACTTTCCCATCGAATCATCAACGAGTGGAATTCACTACCTCAGCACGCGGTTGAGGCTCCATCCGTCGACTCTTTCAAAATAAAGTTGGATCAACTGAGAGACCACCATTGCCAGGACTAACATAGGCCATCGAGCCTCCTGTCCTTCTCAAACTGAAACTGCTATGATTTACCAATTTATTTTTCTTTTACTATCGTTAATATACCTATGTTCCTGCCTGGGGATATTGGTGATCCACTGCTACTAGACGCGGAAGCAAGTTAAGCGAGAACTCCTATTCAGTTCAGAACCATTTGAAGGTCGTGCTCGCTGACTGCATTTAAGTTTTGCGTTGTACCGCATTGAAGGTCTTATCGTTACGAGTGTTTTAGTTTCAGACCTGTGTTGCTTCTAATTATTGTTGGTTGATTCCGTTACTGAACGTAAGCAAAACTATGTGTTTGATTATTTTTCTTACTACCCTCTTTTCCAGAACTCCCACAACTTTTATACACCCCTCCAGGACACCAATTATCTTTAGGCCAGAAATAAACCCAACAAGTGGTAAATATTATATATAATGGTAAGCAGCTTCGACTGACTACGGTTTCTTAGTTGTTTTTTTCATTTTTTAAAACTTTGGTTGGGAAGGATGTGTTAATTGAACTGAAGAATGACCTATGGTGAGTGTTGACATATTAGTTTCATATATTACAGTATATGTGGTACGCTGCACTCAGTCGATCAATATCACAATTTCAAACTCACTGATATTAGCGTTACTGATCCTGAAAAACACCCTCATATGGTAACGTTATAAGCCTTATAATCACTTAATTATAGCTGTCTGTTAAAAACTGTTTCATAAGAGGGTCTATTGTAAGATATGTCCAACTCCCAGCTGATGAATGCGATACGATTGAATTACAAAATGCATCCAGGAAAGAAGCAACTGTCGGGAAACAACCCCAGAACTAGCCTCCATCACAATAAATCATTTATATTTTGCTAAAGTTGAATTATATGTTTATACTACAAACGTAATACCTGTTTTGTTAGTATTGTACGGTCTCCATTCACGGTTCAAAACGAAAAGTCTGCGCTTATCCCGTCTTGTCATAGGAATTTCTGTAAAAAAACTCGGAGTGTTTTCCTGTCCTAAGATGTTTAGTAGCGGATACTAAGTGCGGGTATCATTATCGTTAGTCACCCTTGGATTCCGGGTTTGTATAACAAATTTCGTGTATTTTAGAAAACGACTAACTTAAACGCTCAATTTCACGGCTTGATTATATTTCAGAGATCATAGTATTTTAGCTCTTGTAGCATCTATGTATAGTAACCCATTAAGTAGACAAAATTTCATGTATTCAGCTTAGTTACTTTCCGTACGAGGACATGTGTCAATTATCCGTGCCCTTGTATCTGTTTTCGTCTCCACACCGTATATGATAAACAAGTGTTTTATTTCCACCCATTGAGATATTATATCATGCCTTACGAGACGCTATCCAATAACGTTATAATCAGGCCATCAGCTTTTAGTCAATGATCAGCCGAGTACTTTTCACTGTTCATCCACACAATGCTACAGATAGAATACTATAAGACAACCCCTGGAAAGTTTCGAAAACCCTACGGTATTATGACCTGACACCAGTTGACTGCATACATTTATATAGTTTCACTGTATTTTAACTTGCGAAGTAAAAGCTGCGTTCGGTAGACTTGACCGCTTCTCACATGTTTTACGTACACCGTTTGTAAATGTTTGGAAGCATATATCAGCGTTTCATATCATCTGAACAACTTAATTCTGTATTGTTACTGGTTCATTTTAGTAGTAATAGTTCTTAAAAGTTGTAACCGTTAAATACTGGCTTATTCTATGAGTAGTTAGTATATCCCATTCATAAATCAGGTTCCAAATAGTGAAAAAGACAGTCAGATCATAATTATACATTTTGCGAGTAGCTTATTCCTGCTTTGTTACTTATTCTCATAGTATGATGATCACCTACTCAATATGTGTAATTATCCAACCATATAATGTTCAATCTCATCAATTTTCTCCTGACCGTTGTTGCTACCTTGACGTGGGGGTCGGGCTTGCCTATCGTGATGAAGCAACCGAGCTATACTGGCTGGAACAACCGTTCCTCAAGGTCCTACCATGTCAGACAGGTCGGTTAAAGAGGGGTGAGACTAAAAGCAACAAACCCAAGGTCCGAAGGCGAAGTCGTACTGCTGACTGTACAGAGGTGTGACAGCAGTAAGGTGTTTCCTTCAGACAACCAGCATGACAGCGATGCTGCCTTCCCACAAGGAGGGGTGGGGTTAGAAAAGGTCGACCCTAAAAATGCACATCTCACCTCACGGATTTCCGTCTCCGGTGGTAAGGCCCTTTTGAAGAACGGAGCTAACACGTCAAAAACCTCCCACGAAAAGGCCGTGCGCGACCGGCCTCAAGCAGTTGTCCCTTGGACATTGCGGTCACGCTCTCAGGTCACTGAGACCGCCTCTAATACAATTTCCTTTTCAGGTACCTCCAGAACAACTTTTCCACGGTGTGGGCAACCGGGAAGTGAAAACCGCCCTCATACCTCTAACAACACCCAAGATCACTGTATTCAGAATCAACCTTCCTCTTCAATTCCTATTATTCCTCCTACATCGACTTTCGACTCTAAACTTCCTCTTTCGGCTTCCTCAAGTGTCACCATAGCCAACGATTCTAGTGCTCAAAACTCTGTCCCAGGTCTACTGAAACCTCGCTCCAAACTACACATTGGAGCTTTCAACGTACGCACTCTATGTCAAATCGGTCAGCAGGCTTCCTTGGCTAAAACCCTAGTCTCTTTCGATTGATGTGTGCTGTGTCTCCGAAACACGCATACAGGATTCCAGTGTGGTCATTCACTTGACCTCACCTCGGCAAAACGGAGAGCCAACGAGATACACTCTACGTGTATCTGGTGACCCTATGGCCAGTTCTCGTGGACTGGCAGGTGTAGGCATAGCACTAAGCATGAGGGCTGAACAAGCACTGCTAGAGTGGCTCCAGAGGTCTTTAAGGATGGTGGTCCAATTTTAGCGATTAGGTTGACTAATATTTTAGCTAAGATCTGGGAGTCAGACGTTATTCCATCTGACTGGTCACAATCACTTATCGTCCCAATATATAAGAAAGGGTCAAAATCATCCTGTGACAACTACAGAGGGATTATTTAACTAATATAATATCTAAAATACTAGCCTCGATAATTATCAGACGCCTAAATAAGACTCGTGAACTGCAAACACGAGAAAACCAAGCTGGCTTCAGACCTGGTCGTGGCTGCATCCACCACATATTCACCATTCGTCAGATTCTAGAACACAGGCATACTTATCGGCGTCCGACAATCGTGGTCTTTCCTGACTTAAAAGCAGCATTTGACTCGGTAGACCGCGAGATTCTGTGGCAGTGTCTGTCATTGAAAGGCATACCTCAGAAGTACATAAACCTTGTAAAGGCTCTTTACTCGAACACTACTAGTCGAGTCAGAGCTTATGGCGAACTGTCATCTACTTTTGCAACTTCAAGTGGTGTCCGTCAAGGCTGTCCACTTTCCCCATTCTTGTTTAACTTCATCATAGATCTACCGATGGAAATAACTTTCTCGTCGACTGAGTTCTCGGGTATTGATCTCTTACCAGGAGGTCCACTTATCGACTTAGAATACGCAGATGGCATAGTCCTGTTTGGTGAAGACGCTGACAAAATGCAGAGTTTTCTGGTAGCACTAAGCAACAATGCCAGAATGTTTGGAATACGCTTCTCTCCTTCTAAATGCAAGTTGTTGCTTCAGAACTGGTCTGCGTCAACACCTGAACTAAGGATAGGGAGTGAAGTAGTCGAACGCGTCGACAACTTCACTTATCTTGGAAGTCTGATCAGCCTTAATGGGTTGGTATCGGACGAAATCTCAGCACGGATTCGAAAAGCTCGTTTGGCTTTTGCCAACTTACGTCACCTTTGGCGAAGGCGAGATATCCGTCTATCAATAAAAGGACGAGTATACTGCGCGGCAGTCCGTTCTGTTTTAATTTACGGCAGCGAAACATGGCCATTAATAGTAGAAGACACTCGTAAGCTACTAGTATTTGATCACAGATGTCTTAGAAATATTGCCAGCATCTGCTGGGATCACCGGGTAAGTAATAGTGAGGTTAAGCACTGGGTATTAGGGGATGATGGTAAATCGGTTGATGAGATTGTGAATATTCATCTGCTGAGACGCGTGCGCCACGTGCTATATATGCCTGAACACCGATTACCACGATGTGCAATGCTAACCGGTGTTGGGGATGGTTGGAAGAAAGTAAGGGGCGGCCAAACCAAAACGTGGCATCAGTGCTTGAAGTCACTAACTTCTAGTCTGAGCCATGTTGGTAGATGCAGACTACTTGGTTGGGGTCCGCGTGACTATCGTAACCAATGGTTGGAGACTCTTGGCGACATGGCTCAAAATCGATCACAATGGCGTCGGTGTATACACTCCATGTCTTCCCTTAAACTAAGAGATTAAAATCGCTTCATACCTTTCTTTCTACGAACCAATTTTTTCTTCTTGTACTATATCTCTATATGCAATCTTTCTCTTATATATTACCACCTTTGACCTAAGCACTCCTATGAATTCGGTGTTCATCTTGTGTGCTGATGCGGTATGGCAACCTGGACCGATGCACATATGTGCCTGGTCCTACGTTGTAGCTGACTGACTCATCAATTTTCTCATAAACTAACGACATATTGTTGTCGACTCTCAAGCCTTAAGTTTATATACCGAAAACTAGTGCTTTCATTGAGCACACATGTGTGTTTATCCGTAATATTCTTATTCGTAGTAATGAGGAAATAGTGTATGGTGTTTATGCCGTATAAATTTGGTGCTCAAAGTTATATGCAACAAAGGCATGTCAGTGTATATGTGTGTGGAGTTACATCTATACTTATACGCTTTGAACGTTGTTAGGCGTTACCTAATAAGATGAATAATATTGACTAATGTAGGGGTAAATTAGAAAAATATTAGCAGTGAAGAGATCAAGATAAAGCACTAATCTACCCAGTTGCTGATTGTTGGTCATTCACTACTGATACTGGTTTATGCAAACATGGTTAGTGAAACACTATTATCTTGTGTTTTAAGCCTTCTTTCTACACTTAAGTTTTCTTCATAGTATGTCTTACTAATTTTGTTCAGATTGAGCATAGAGAGATAAGAGTAGCATTAGTATTTTTCCAACTTCAGATTCGCTCGGGAAAACAATCTTCACTAACTCATGACCACATTTCAAGTATATCGAGATGAACAAAGGTATATTTTATTGTCTTTGATAGCCAACTGATGGTAGCGCAAAACAAGATAGTGATCACTTTGCTTAATGATATATTCACAGTTGTTGCAGTTTGCTTTATGGATTAAGTTGAGCTGTTTTGTTTGTTTGTTGAGTCCATTAGTTTGTTAGGTATAGTTTAAAGAAACTACTTTGATAAGTAAACTACACCTATTTACCAAGGCTTCAATAAAAACGACTAGATGACCTATTGTCCAACTTTTTCGAATTTTACCTGATAAGGGATTGTCGGTGAATATAGCAAGCCACCAGATTGCTTATCATAACCATCACCAAAGTTCTATCTGTTATATTTGTTAGTTATATCGTACACATAAGAATCAAAACTTTAATGGTGACACTGGTTTTTTCATTAATTCGATGGAATCGTCAACAAAAATTTCAAAAAAATATTGAGAGTGAACTGTATGTACATTAAAACCAGAGAAGAGAACAATTCTTTCCTGGTTTTCTTTTATACATTTTATTAATCTTGGGTAGTGATTCATTTCCACTGTTTCGCAATTTGTGAATGATCGTATGTAACTAATTTCCACTTTGCATCTATCCCATTGTCAATTAATATAGGACAAAATAATACTTAGATAAGCGATATGGGTATTTCACTTGTTCAACAATCTGTAATTAAATAAATTA